CCCAGATGGCAAGAAGAGTGTTTAAACGGTTCACCGTTTTGGAGCTTGTTCTCATTGTTCTTCTGATTGTGCTGTTCATCATTGCCGTTGTCCTAATTGTGCTTTTAGCCAATTCTACGGGACCAAATGGTAACACGTTACCCTGAGTCTCTCCCATAGCAGAGCAAAATCGGCATCAATGGTAGTGATATTTTTATATTGCTCGATGTGAGTGTCAGTGTGAGTGTGCATGCATACAAATCAGATATATCCTGGTGAATGTCTAATGAAAATGATGGCAGTTCCGCAGAGACTCTTGGTAGGTTTACGTTCTGATACTTTCATTTCCCCATTTAATTGGTATCTGTATCTAATTCTACAATTGACCTTGAAATGTATTTGTGCAATGTTATTAAATCATTGTAATTATATTAATAATGATAACAAACAGCATGTTGTATGAAAGGCAATATGTATATAATCAACTAAAGCATTCTTAGACCTAAAATTTGTTCTTAAAAATCTTATTTATGTTATTTTTATTACATGTTCTTGAACTGATATATCTCAAAAGATGGGGTGGGGTGTGCTGAATGATCCAGGCTTTCCTACGTGCCTCACATAGGAATAACTCTTTAGGACACCAGGCAGTGAAGGGGCAGCCTGTGGCTACAGGCAAACCTTTCTTGCCCCTTCTATTCCACCCCCAGATACAGCAATTTCTACTTTATGTAGAAAAGAACATCAGAGTCTTGAAGATTATTTAAGTTTTTAAATTATGTGCTCCTGAAGATGGAGTTAAAGCCTTGTATAGCAGCCAGTACAACTATGGAGTGTCTTTAACCCATCACTTTTGAATTGAAAATCATAATGAAAAGAAAATCAATTAAAAGCAACATTATGTTGTCATGATATCATTTGTTTATTATAGGGCACCTTAAATAAAGTGTTTCCTTATTTTAGAAAAAAGTGAAAGTACCCTTTCTATTTTACTGGTCTTCAAATTTGACATCAAAGTTTTGTAGCCCCAGGGTAGTTTACAGATGGGTGGATTCCTTTACATTTTCTTGTCACATGGGAGTTTATATTTACAAAAGAATGCCACCATGTAGAAGTTGGGGGTTAACTGGAAAAGCAGAATTGATGCTGCTGTGTTTAGAACAGCACTTTACTGCCTACGTTCTGTGTGTATGTACTGCTGGGGCCCACAGATTATTCTACAAAGGTCCAGAGAATAAGTATTAGATTGGGGGGCCAGTAAGATGATTAGTCAGTTACAGGCACTTGCTGCCAAGTCTGATGACCTGAGTTCAATCTCCTCGACCCACATACCACAAAATAGAGAGGGCTACTGCAAGTTATGCTTGCTTAATTTCTCTCTTTTCTCTCTCTCACACACAAATAAATGTTAAAAATATATCTTTAGATTGTGTGACTCATACAGTTTCTGTTATATTTAATACTGCTATTGCAGCATTAAGAATTAACATAGCTATCAATAACAATTTATCTGTGTTCTAGTAATACCTCATTTTTAATAACTGATTTTGATCTGATTTGGCTGAAACGGTATGGTTTATTGAGGCCTGGTTGGTTTTCAATTTTAAGAGCTTCTAATGTAGTGATGGAGTTCTTTCTCTTGTACGTACTACCTTATAGGGGAGCTTGGGCAAAGAAGGCGATGTTGGAATACATAGAGGTGGAAACACTTAGGAAAAACAGAGCAAGGTGATACAAGTAACAGTGCGTACATGTTGAAGACATTAAAATAGAGGGCAGTCAGCAGTGGAATCAATACAATTGCAGGTTTTGAGAAACCTGGTGCTATGGAATGAAATGCCTGTGGTATTAATTCTATCTTCTGTTTGCTTTTGTGATATGATAGCCTTAAATGATAACACGACTAGTGTGCCAGGCTCTACGACCACAAGGACCACTGTTAATTCTCCTGATTGTCCAGTACTAAATGAATTGGAACGGATAAACTGCATCCCTGATCAGACACCTACAGAGGTTTGTGTTATAGATCTTTTTTCACTTAAAAAATGTCACTGTGCAGTTTCTCTTCATTGTTTCTTCTACTTCCTCTCCTCTTCTTTGTCCTCCTCTTGTTCTTCTTCCTACTCTTCTTCCTTTTCTTCATCTTCCTCTTCTTTTTGTTTCACAGAAAGTTGTGTGTAAGGCAGTCGTTGGTGCCTCACATGAATCAAACCTACTCATGTTTGTATGGTCACGCAGATTCGGGAGAGGAAGAGCTGAACATTCCTCTGGGTTGCCAGGTTCAGCAAGTTTAATTTGAACTGCAGATAAACAATGGCCATGTTTTTAGTATAATTACCTTCTATGTAGTATTTTGGAAATGCATTTGAAATATATGAAAATGTGTTTATCTTTCACCTGGCAACAGCCTTTGAGTGGCGTTCTTTGATTCTCACTGCCTCTCCCCTTGCCCTCTGTGTATTTCTTCCTCCTTTCAGCATTTCAAAGGGCTATCTAGGATCAACAATAAAACATCATACACGTGCACAAATCATGATTTGACATTAGGGCAAAGTTTCAAGAGTTATGCTTGGAAAGGAAGAAGATAATTAACAGCACAGTAAAGATCATGCAGAGACATGGGTGTTTTAGTCCAATGTTTCTTCAACAGCTCGTGCACATCTGATAATCACGATAATAAAGTTCTTGCAAATGTCTTATCATTCACTTTTTTGAAGATAAAAATGATAAGCTGTAAATGAAACAGAAAGCAGCCTTCTGAACAAAGTGCACTGACATGAAGTGATAGATTAGCATCAAATGCGTGGTAGATGCTTGGACCTGCATGGCACGCCCACATTGATCTCTGCAGCCACCCTATTCTCACTGGGCTACAGCGATCTGCAGTGTTCTAGAGAGTCACTGCTTGTGTTTTTTCAGAGGACCCTTGTGTATTAATGTCCTTGGGGAGATGGGGTGCAATAGAGGTAGGTGTAGTGTGGGGAGGAAAGGCGTCACAATAGTCCTCTTGCTTATCTCAAGCAGGCAAAGGTAAATAAAGACAAAGAGATTCATGAGAAAAGAAATCTTAATCAGAAAACACTATGCCACCAAATACTCAGTTGTTTAGTGTTTTATAACCCAACTTCTAGTCATTGAGCCCTTTATTATTAGGTATACAATATAAGCAGAGCTTTGGTTGGGCTTTGTTGCTGGAACAACAACAACAAAAAAAAACAGTGTGACTTGAATGTTGTCAGAGAAAATAGAAAAAGATCAGTTGAAGTGTAGAGAAAAAGTCTGCAGAGTGTAGCCCACTAGACAGGACTCTTATATTAAACTTCACCCACCCAGGGCTCAGGGACCATGGCTGAGAGGGGGCAGAACAATTTTAAGAACCAGGGGAGCAGGTACATGACCATAAGGAACAGAGTCTTGAAGGCTCCTAGAACCACGCTCATATGAACTTACAGCAATGGTGACAGCATGCACAGGACCTATGCAAACTCAATCAGACAAAACCCAGCATCGAACTGGGGGAAATGGGCAGGAAGCCACAACTTTGGTGGGGGACCATTGGCAACTGATCACTGCTGGTTGAGGGAGAGTTGGTCTTCTTTAAGGGAAGGAAGCTAGACAGGCTGACTAGACTCCAGTGGATGAACTCACACCCAGGGACATCTGGGTACACAAACTTGACTTAACAGGCCTTAACATATACGACAGAATGCATAAAATCCAGTGTGGGGGGTACCTTAGGGGATTCAGATGGGGAAGAGGGGGCTAAATATGATTAAGACGTATTGCATGAAATTCGCAAAGTTTTATATATATATATTTAATGAGTAGCCGAGGTTTTGAAGGAAATGGCAGGATTCATGTTAAGAAAAAAAGGTGTTTGAGTGTACCCCTGTAGCTGGTAACAGTCATTCGGGGCTGAAAGAAGGCAGATGATAAGGGTGAAAAACAAAGCACAAAGGGAAGACTTAGAGAAATGAAGTAAAGGAGAAGTAAGAACTTGATGCGCAGAGACAGAAGAAATGGGAAAGCGCAGCAGGCACTTGGCTGACTGAACCATCTCCCCAGCCCTGTGGGATTGAAAGTGAATTCAAGATGAAGAGGAAGTATAGACAAATCACACAAGGGGAAGTTGTGGAGCACATACACGATCTACTGAGTGGTTCAGACCGTCCCACAGAGGGAGAGTGACAGAGGGAAGGCTGTTAAGACCCCAAGGCAGGCTGCGGCTTGATGACTGAGGCCTGTTGCTATGCCGCGTTGTCAGTAGGAATGGGCAGTTATGGTCTAGGTGTGTTTTACCTAAACAGAATGCTTGGTGCACAGGGTTTGCAAAAAGTTAATGCAAGTCAAATAATTTGCTCCTGTCATTTTGTTTTAGGAAAGGAGTTACTTGGAAACTTCTAGAACCATCACATGTCCTAACTATGTCACTCCTATACCATTTCATCTAGTAGGACATGATGAAGTTCAAAGATCATCACTCCCACAGTGATGCTTCCTTGCTGCTTAATTTTAACACTTTATTGAAATGTAACACTTTACAATCAACATATGACTCAAAAAAAAAAAAAAAAGACCATTAGCATTTTCCACACGATGTACCACCCATCTGAATTGCCCTGGGATCTTTATCAGGCTCCTCTTTTGCTCAGTCAGAGAGACATTCTGCCACTTTCAATGGCCCTTCGCCTCACAGATAAATGTATCTTAGGCAATGTGTTACATTTGTGATGCATTCTGAGCACTGTATGTTAATCTGGAGTCTCTAGTATGGCTGAGGGGTAGAGTGTATGGATAATGCTGTACTTCTGTGATGCATTTGTAAAGGGAGGTAGAGAAGAGGGTAGAAAATATTTCCGAGTCTTTTGCTGTATACTTTTATCCTTTCTATTTCCTCTGTTTTAGGATTACATATAAGAGAACTAACACTATACATTTCTCTCTGCAGATGATATCTTGTTGTAGATAAAAATGTTTCTTGCTCTTAATACTGGAGGGAATCTGTATCCAGGACAGGGAAATCTGTATCCAGGATAGTACCCAGATGAACCTGGGTACTCTTAAGAGAGTTTTGTTTCTTTTGCTTTTTACTTTTTATTGATTAATGCTGTTATTGAAAAGTTCATGTATGTATACAATGTGTTCTAATTTTTTAAAATGAAAATGGACTCTAGGAGTCCTTTAAAAAGTTATTTATTTGTTGAGAATTTCATACATGTATACAATGTATTTTGATCATATCTACTCCTCACTATCTGCTTCCTACTTCTCCAAGACCCCTATCTCCCAAATTCCTGTTCCCAATTTCTTTCTTCATTTTAATATTCTTTGAAATTTTGCAAATTTCATAGAATATATTTTGATCTTTTCCAAATCTGCACCCTCTACTACCCCTGCCCAATTTCATGTACTCTCTCTCTCTCTCTAGATATATAAAGTATATAAATACAAAAT